CTTAAACTTAATTTGAAGAGTTGTGGGGTGTGTGGGGTGTGTGTATAGATTTACTAGGGTTAAGTATTAAGTTGGATGACCTTTTTTATCTTTTTATACAATAATAAAACTTACAGCTTAATGATTTAAGTATTGAAGTGAACTAAGAGAAGTGTGGGGTTTATATAGAAAAAAATCATCTAATAAAGCAAGAAATAAAGAGAGAGAAAAAAAAACAGAAAAGCACATGAAGAATTTCATTGAACCTGAAAGTATGTTTAACGAATTTGATGGCAGCCCAAAATTGGTCCTTGGTCCAATCACCATCTTCTCCAAGCAATTGCAGAGGGCAAGAGCCATTGATGAGCTTCTGAAGTAAGAAAAAGAACCTTTCATCACTTGATTAATCGAACCTAACTTTGTATGCTGAAGAGAAAAACTTTGCTACAGCAACCATGGTTGCCTCTGTCCTAGAACTTATTGTAACAAATTTTCCCCTTACATTTTCATCTTTACTAGCTTATGATGAAATGAAGAAGCATGAACTGATCAATGAACTCAATCTTGTTGAGCCACTGCTCTCTTTCTTCTTGTCCTTGACCATCTTGCTTGTCAAATATTCAACTTGCAATATGTATCATATGAACAGAAGCAGAATTCGATGACTATTAGGAGCTACATCTGGTTGTAATGGTGATGGAAGGCGTTGGGCAGAGCGAAGAGAGGAAGCGAAAGGTCCGGCTTTGCAGGAGGGTTTTTTGTTAGGGTTTTGGGGAAGAAGAAGAAGAAGTTGCTGGTATCGTGATTGATTTTCCATGTCAGCTATTTTGCAAGGGTAGCTCAGGCCTAGTTTAAAGAGTCATTTAAGTTTTAAAGATGGGCCAGGCTTTTTAAGAAGAAGGGTAGCATTGTCTTTTAAGCTTTTATTTTTAAGCTGACCCAACGAATATGGGCCTCCTCTTTGGCCTAATCCAAAATAACAATTCTTTCCTAGGTATTAAAACCCAAACAAAAATATCCAATGTCTCAAATACTAATTAGTAAAGTTACTTACGCCTAATACCTAATTTTTCTATTAAAAAAATTAGTTTATATGTAGAAAAATGTTGAAACAATCAAAAAATATATACAGGTCAACCTTTATAGGAAAACTTTTACATAAGTAAGAGCTTGGTCCTGTTAAAATATACTCGGACCCACTGGCCTTCTTGAACAAAAGGGGAAACATCCGTACTTGTCCTTTAAAATTTACAAACATACTGATTATCATGACCTGGACTAACCAAACACTAAGACCAAGCATGCACAGGAGAAGGGGAGAAGAGATGTGTGTTGTGATGGAGGAAATGAAATGTGGCTACTGAAAAGGTGAGATTTAGGTTTACAAATTACAAAAGTCTTTTTCCACTTTTAACCCCTCTTTTTAAAAATATTTCAAATCAGTCCACCAAAGTTTCAAAAATCACGTTTAGAACCTGGATTTTATTTTCAAAATTTTAAACTGGTCCCTGTCGTGTCTTGACTGTGTCGGAGCCGTTGACCATGTCCAGTGCGTGTCCAACACTCTAGCAGTTTGGAGTGTTCGTGCAACATAGCTTATAGGATTATATTTATGAATTTCTATAATTAAGATTTTTTATTTATTTATGGATTTTAAAAAAATTTATCATAGCATTTATAAGATTTGAAGGGACCACATAGATTTCTTACGGGATTGACATAAGATTTTTTAAGAAAAAATAGACTCGTAAATATTGTTGACTGGGTGGATGGTCTCCCCGATTAGCTGGGGCACCAAGATTTTCTAGCTTGATTTTTTGTGTGATACTTCAAAAGAAATGAAAGTGTGAATGAAAATGAAAGGAAACTGCAAGAAACTTTGGTAGTTAAATAAGAAGAAAGTGATTTTTGTGTGGATTATTTGACAAATGGATAAGTATTTATAGAATTTTGATCAAATTTAGGGTTGATTTAGTATATCTTATTTTTTTCATTTTGAGCATTAGATTTAAACTTGGACTATTTAACTAGTTAAAACATTCAAAAATCAATATATGTCGTTGATTTAAATTGGGGGGAAAAAAACCAGATTTAAAGCTGACTGTGGTATCTGAATGGCTAGGTGATCCCACCTGCATGTGGCTCAAGCACATGGTTACTCAACAAGCATGCACAGGAATTTGTCACTTAACTAGGATGCAGGGGTCCATCGCCATCACCTCCTCTTTCATCTTCCCAAAATACCCTACTCAAACAGCCTGCATTCGTGGCCACTTTTGACTGGAACAGTCCAACAGTTGTGGCCTGCCGTAAACCCAATTTCACGACAACTTTCCGTTATCTTGTCATCGTTCCTTCACGAAAGTTGCTTGTGATCACCTCCTCTATCATCTTCCCACAATTTTATTTATAAAAGATATAAAATTGTAGAGCGTTTTGTAATAAATGTTGTTTGGGCCAAAAATTGACACACCCAGCCCAGCGAAAAATTCCATCAGTTCTGCCTAAAAACAGTTTAAATTCCATCAGTTCTGCCTAAAAACAGTTTAAATTCCATCAGTTCTGCCTAAAAACAGTTTAAATTCCATCAGTTCTGCCTAAAAACAGTTTAAATTCCATCAGTTCTGCCTAAAAACAGTTTAAATTCCATCAGTTCTGCCTAAAAACAGTTTAAATTCCATCAGTTCTGCCTAAAAACAGTTTAAATTCCATCAGTTCTGCCTAAAAACAGTTTAAATTCCATCAGTTCTGCCTAAAAACAGTTTAAATTCCATCAGTTCTGCCTAAAAACAGTTTAAATTCCATCAGTTCTGCCTAAAAACAGTTTAAATTCCATCAGTTCTGCCTAAAAACAGTTTAAATTCCATCAGTTCTGCCTAAAAACAGTTTAAATTCCATCAGTTCTGCCTAAAAACAGTTTAAATTCCATCAGTTCTGCCTAAAAACAGTTTAAATTCCATCAGTTCTGCCTAAAAACAGTTTAAATTCCATCAGTTCTGCCTAAAAACAGTTTAAATTCCATCAGTTCTGCCTAAAAACAGTTTAAATTCCATCAGTTCTGCCTAAAAACAGTTTAAATTCCATCAGTTCTGCCTAAAAACAGTTTAAATTCCATCAGTTCTGCCTAAAAACAGTTTAAATTCCATCAGTTCTGCCTAAAAACAGTTTAAATTCCATCAGTTCTGCCTAAAAACAGTTTAAATTCCATCAGTTCTGCCTAAAAACAGTTTAAATTCCATCAGTTCTGCCTAAAAACAGTTTAAATTCCATCAGTTCTGCCTAAAAACAGTTTAAATTCCATCAGTTCTGCCTAAAAACAGTTTAAATTCCATCAGTTCTGCCTAAAAACAGTTTAAATTCCATCAGTTCTGCCTAAAAACAGTTTAAATTCCATCAGTTCTGCCTAAAAACAGTTTAAATTCCATCAGTTCTGCCTAAAAACAGTTTAAATTCCATCAGTTCTGCCTAAAAACAGTTTAAATTCCATCAGTTCTGCCTAAAAACAGTTTAAATTCCATCAGTTCTGCCTAAAAACAGTTTAAATTCCATCAGTTCTGCCTAAAAACAGTTTAAATTCCATCAGTTCTGCCTAAAAACAGTTTAAATTCCATCAACCATTCTGGCCAGAACAACCTCTTTATACTGAGATAAATTGTTAAAGTCCTCACCAGTCTGAGGCGAGAAAAGAACTTACTTGGGAGATATTCCTCACCCAAATTCACAATCGTTTGTTTGCAGAAATCAGTAACTTGGGGCGCAAGTTATCCATTCCAAACTAAGTCTGCTAGAATTTTTATTACTAGCAGTGGCACGCTCGCACACCAAAGAAAGCTGACTTGTTGACTAGTCTATGGTTCTCAAGGCAGTGGGGAACTTTGCCCTTCCATCACAGGAGTAAACGCAAAACGGGCAAACAAATGTTAAGCTTATCATGTTAGGTTTAATATCATTCATTCATAGTGGGATTAATCCAAGGATGTAAAATTTGTGTCAAAACTTATGTCAAAAACATAATGCCACTCATCAAAAGCTAGAATATTTTTAAAGATGCATGAGATTCACCCTTAAATTCGTATTCACTTTGTGGTTTCTTTGAATTATCACATTTTTCTGGCCACTTGTGTGTCGGTATGATTTTTATTCTTCATTTTGTCAAGTAAACATTTTTTGTTTGACAATCTTGATAGTAGATTTTAACCATGTTTATTTGAATATGCTGATACTTTCTTATATTCATATAACAAACTGGGTGGCAGGCTTTAATTTTTTGAATTTGATGCAATGGCATCAAAGGAAGATTAGTGTAACAATTAGTAGGGATTTGCTATATGATTTTGTGCAATGAAGTGCTTGTACTACAAGAAAAAAAAAAACGACCACAAAAGTGAAAAATAGACGCCCAAGTTGTGTACACAGAATAGGCATAATTGAAAAAAACAAGTTGTGTACACGAAACCACGGTCAAAGGGTATATGGATGAGCTTCAGTTTGAGGACGCAAAGTGAAATTTGACCAAAATTTTCGGGGACAAAGTGAGATTTTACCCACACAAAAAAGAAAAAAAAAAAGAAAAAAAAAAGAAAAAAAAAGTGAAAAGTAGACACCCAAGTTGTGTACCCGGAATAGGCATAATCGAAAAAAACAATAATCGATATTTACGTGATTTAATTGTCATTTTATTTGAACAGTCGTGTATTTTGAGGTTTAGGGTATATATCTTTATAATATTAATGGTAGTAGAAGAAGTGGATAAAATAAGCTAAAAAATTGAAAACTGGATGGATACGGCGTCGTTGGGTTCCGCTTGCTTATTTCCCAAGAAAATTAGACGACAGAAGAACGAGCCGTCGTATAGCGTATTAGCGTGGTCATTGTTGGTGTGAAAACCTCGTCAATTTCCTTTGAAAAGTAGGTAAATTTTCTCAATTAGACTCGCCTAATTCGAATAGGATTTGCGCCAATTTTCCTTTATGTTAATTCTATAAATTTTGCTCCTTGTCGTCTTTGGTTCAACCCTAAACCAGTTTGCCCCATTTTTCTTGCAAAAGGTATTTGAGCTTCCTGCTTGTCCGTTTGTTTCTTCTGCTGGAGCAAGAAGCGTGGAGAGCGGCAGTCAAGACTCCATCAACACCTCCTCTGGTACTGGTACCCTCCATCTTGCCTTTTATCTTCTTCAATATATTTTTCTTTTCTAAACTTCTGAATATGATCTCTCCTCTGCTTTTTGTTTTAGTTTTGTTGTTGACACTAGACATTGTTCTATGTTGAATTTTCTTTTGAATCTTTATGTTTTAATTGTTTTTAGGAATTACATGTTCTAATCATATGACCGATTGCTCGAATTCTGAATGTTGAGTTGTAATGTGTTGCGCAAATTTGATAGATTCCACCTTCGACCTTGACCCAATGTGCACTAACAATGGAACTTCATTGATATTTTTCAACTACTGGTTTACAAAGATTAAGCTTCCAGAAAGAATAGCTTTCCTAATATACTAAGCACCACCGAATAACTAAACTCTGTAACAATATGACTTGACAATTTTGATGTATTGTAATACGTACACACACACACAAATATACATTGCTAATGGAAATCATTGCTGTTTGCAGTTTGTGTAAAACTATTGAAATGGTCGCCGAAGATGGGAAGAGCTTCGTAAAGAGGGACACACTCAAAAAAATAGAAGCAAAGATTCAAAGTTTGTGGAAAGAACATGACGTTTACAGGGCCGAATCTCGGGAAAAGCCTCCTAAGCCAGGGAGAAGTTCTTTGGAAACTTCCCGTTCCCTTACATGAATGGCTTTTTGCATCTTGGACATGCATTCTCACTCTCAAAGCTAGAGTTTTCTGCACGTTATCATAGACTAAGAGGTGCCAATGTGCTCTTCCCCTTCGGTTTTCATGGAACCGGAATGCCCATCAAAGCCTCAGCTGATAAAATTGCACAAGAGATTCAACAGTTTGGACACCCGCCTATCTTTCCCATCAACGAAGAGGATCCAGTGAACCAAGAAGAAGTTGAAGATGCAAATGCAGGTGCACCTCTAGAAACTAAGTTCAAGGGAAAGAAGTCCAAGGCTGCATCAAAATCAAGCGGACAAGCGTACCAGTGGGAAATCATGCGTAGTCTTGGCCTTTCCAACAGTGAGATATTCAAATTCTGCGAACCATCTGAGTGGTTGAGCTTCTTCCCTCCATTGGCAATGGAAGACCTCAAGGCTTTTGGCTTGGCATGTGATTGGAGCCGTTCCTTTATTACTACAGACAGGAACCTGTATTTTGATAAGTTTGTGAGGTGGCAGATGCGGAAGTTGAAAGACGAGGATAAGATTGTCAAAGCGAAACGCTACACCATCTACTCTCCAATGGATGGGCAGCCATGTGCAGATCATGATAGGGCAATTGGCGAAGGAGTTCAGCCCCAAGAATATACTATCATCAAAATGGAGGTGGCGATACCTTTTCCTTCTAAGTTGGGAGTGTTGGAGGGGAGAAAAGTGTTCCTTGCTGCGGCAACATTGAGACCTGAGACCATGTATGGGCAAACAAATGCATGGGTATTGCCCAACGGGAGGTATGGAGCCTTTGAAGTCAATGAAACAGATGTATTTATTCTTACGCAGAGGGCAGCGCGTAATCTTGCTTATCAGGGGTTCTCTAGGATACCTGAGAAACCTTCTTGCTTGATTGAACTAACTGGTTACGATTTGATTGGCCTTCCATTGAAGTCACCGCTTGCACGCCATCAGATTATTTATGCCCTTCCTATGTTAACCATCGTAGCAGACAAAGGGACTGGGATTGTGACTAGTGTACCTGGGGATGCTCCTGATGATTATATGGCCCTCCATGATTTAAAATCAAAACCAGCTTTTAGAAACAAATATGGTGTGAAGGATGAATGGGTTATGCCCTTTGAGATTGTGCCGATCATCAATGTTCCGGAATTTGGAGATAAGGCTGCGGAGAAGGTTTGTGGGGATCTCAAGATTAAAAGCCTGAATGAGAAAGAGAAGCTAGCAGAAGCCAAGAGGTTGACATACTTGAAAGGGTTTACAGAAGGAACACTGCTGGTGGGGGAATTTGCAGGAAGGAGAGTCCAGGAGGCAAAATCATGGATAAGGAGCAAACTAATGGAGGAAGGAAATGCAATCATGTACAGTGAACCGGAGAAGCACGTAGTGTCACGGTCAGGGGATGAATGTGTTGTGGCTCAAACAGAGCAATGGTACATCTCTTATGGTGAACCTGAATGGAAAAAATTGGCTGAGGAATGCTTGTCGAGCATGAACTTGTACTCTGAAGTGACACGACATGGATTTGAACACACGTTAAGTTGGTTGAATCAGTGGGCTTGTTCACGATCGTTTGGGCTTGGAACACGTATTCCCTGGGATGAAAAATACTTGGTCGAGTCGTTGTCTGATTCAACCCTTTACATGGCTTATTACACCGTTGCTCACTTTTTACACGATGGAGACATGTATGGGGATTCCAACACATCTGGGGTTATACCTGAACAAATGACCGATGAGGTATGGGATTTTATCTTTTGTGATGGGCCCTTTCCAAAATCATCTGACATATCATCATCAATTCTGAATAAGATGAAGAAGGAGTTCGAATATTGGTATCCATTTGATCTTCGAGTGTCTGGTAAGGATCTCATCCAGAATCATTTAACATTTTGTATTTACAACCACACGGCAATTATGCCCAGGAAGCATTGGCCTCGTGGGTTTAGATGTAACGGGCACCTGATGCTCAATTCTAAGAAGATGTCCAAGTCCACAGGGAATTTTTTGACATTGCGGCAGGCAATAGATGAATATTCTGCTGATGCCACACGAATCGCTTTGGCCGATGCTGGTGATGGTGTTGATGATGCAAATTTTGTATTTGACACTGCAAATACTGCCATCGGACGACTCACTAAAGAGATTGCATGGATGGAGGAGAATTTGAGTGCAAACTCTTTGAGAAGAGGTTCTCCTTCTACTTTTGCGGACCATGTATTTTTGAATGAAATAAATATCGCTGTGAGAAGGACTGAGCAGAACTACGAGTCTTGCATGTTCCGAGAAGCCCTTATCACTGGATTTTATGGTCTTCAAGCTGCCAGGGATTGGTATCAGCATTCATGCGGTGGTGCTCAGGACATGAATCGAGATTTGGTGTGGCGTTATATGGATGTAGAGACGCGCATGGTTGCTCCAATCTGTCCACACTACGCTGAATATGTGTGGAGGGAGGTTTTGAAGAAGGATGGATTTGTAGTAAACGCAGGCTGGCCTGCAGCTGATGCTCCAGATCTAATCCTCCAAAGTGCCAATAACTATTTGAAAAAGTCGATTGATGTAATGAGGAAGAAGCTTAGAAAGCACCAGCCAAATTCTAAGAAACCCGGTAATAATGGTTCTCCAATTTCATCTTCGGTAGAAGGGAAGAAGGTAATATGCCTGATATATGTGAAGGAGCAATTTGATGAGTGGAAGGCAGATTGCTTGAGGATACTCCAGAATAACTTCAACATAGAGACTCGTACTTTTGCTCCGGACAGGGTGATATTGGAGGCACTGCAGAGTAGTTCTCTTGGACAGGCTAAAGATTTTAGACAAGTCCAAAATCTTTGCATGCCTTTCGTGAAGTCGAAGAAGAATGAGGCAGTTCAACTTGGGGCTCAGGCCTTAGATTTGAAGTTACCATTTGGAGAGATTGAGGTATTTAAACAGAACTTAGACTTGATTAAGAGACAACTGGATCTTGAAGAGGTAGAAGTTTTGTCTGCTGCCAACCCTAATAATCGTGCAAAAGTTGGTCCTCATGTTAAACAGATAGAGCAAAATCCTCCATTCCCTGGAAGCCCAACTACCATCTTCTTGACCCGGTAATTGTAATCCTTTTGGTACTTATCTGCAATTTGTATTAGATTATTTTACCGACTTGACATATATGGGTCTTTTCCTCCTGGATCTTGCTCTAAGATTGTACTTCTATTTCTTAAGGGGCTGGTTTGGTATTGCGGTGTAGCCAAAATAAGCTGTTTCTGTAGAAAATTTTAATTATTTAGGTGTTTGGTCAAGCAACTGAAAACTGCTTCTTCTTTTTTTATTGGTCAAAACTAGAGGCAGCTGCTTCTGAAAACAGCTGTGAATGTGGCCGTATTTTCCTCATTTGTTTTAAAAAATGACGTGAGTTACCCTCAACATTTTTACAATCAGAACTGAAACCCACTCCATGCCCAACTTGGTCCTCTCTGGCTCTCTCTTACTAATCCCCATTGTTAATGTTAATCTCTCCATTCTCTCACCAAATAGTTTTCAACATTTCTTACTCCCTCATCCGTATGACCCAGGAAATGTGTTTTTGGGTTTGGAACCACAGAGGTAGACTCAAACTTTCTTGGTGTTTTTTAGGCTTTCTAGTTTGGATTGTCCTCCTATTTCCTTTTCTCTATTTCATTTATGGATCTGAATGTTTTTCTTTCTGATTTTAATTTTGCTTATTTTTTAAATTCCTCTCACTGCAGCTAAGGATCAACTACCCCACGACCACTGACTGCTCCACATTTTGGTGAAAATTCTTTTTATTTTATATTTTATTTGAGTTTTATTGTATTTCGGTGTTTGGGCTTGAATCCATCTCGTTCTTGGCAGAAAGTTAGGTTGTTTAAACCAACTAAATGAAAGTTTCAATTCAGTAGCTGTTTCATATTGATTACTGTTTAGTTTAAGGTTCAGATTTGGAGTTGTGTGTAAAACTCATTCTTTTCTGCATTTTCTATCTTGTATCATTTTAAGGATTTTGTTTGGTATTTTCATGTTTTGGGGCTAATCCTTATTCTTGGTTTTGGAGGCCTAACAAATGTGACAAATAGATTAGGAAACCGTGATTAATTTAAGGGTGGTGTGCAAAACCAAGTTCTTCATTGGAATTTAAGGAAATGACATCTTAATTATCTGTATATCCTTTTTACAAACCATATGGTATTTGGTTCATGTTTATTTATTATATACACTGAATAGCATCAAGTAGTTGTTTGGTTAGAAGTCTGGTTTCTTTCCCCCAAAAATAAATCGTACAATTTGTAGATGACACAAACCGGGAAACACATCTTGAAGTTTTGTTTTCTGGAGCTGAGTGTGGCTTCCTTATTGTCTTGAATGAAGCTTGAATTTCTTCATTTAATTATAATGATTGGATCTTTGAGTAAGGTTTCTGTTTTCCTAGTATTAATTAGTTATTCTTTATGCTTTTTGTAATTGCTATAGTAGTAATGGTTATTTTTATAGTACCTGGGTTGGCAAATTAGAAACAGAACTTGTTCTGGGGCACCAGTTCCTTCATGATCAAAACTCTCTATCTGTATCAAACGGTCTCCAACTTTCCTTCGTTAAGTTAGTCTTAGGCCGCACTAGTGGTAAATTGGCATTGGGATTGGCTGCTTCTTGTGATCTGTACTTTATATATTCTCCAATTTGTCTGCAATGTTTTTTGCTTTTATTGATTTCTGGCCTACTGTAATAATATGAGAGACTGAATCCAAGCGAGTGAATGAACGAGTCTGGGGTTTGTAAAGAGCATAGGACTATAAAAAAACACTACCCGGAATAGGAGTCTTCTACAACTTTTGGTGTTTGATCTTATCATTTCTAATTGGAAATTTATGCCTCTCCATGATCAAAGCTTAGCTGTCTTTGTATCAAAACATATGTGGTTGGTTCTGCATTATCATTTGAGGTGCTTTTACAACACATGCATGAGTTGTGCATTGTTTAGAATTGGACTGTCTGTAGCAAGCTTACCCTTCTTTATTATTATTTTTAACGAAAAAACAAAGAAGATAAGAAGGGCAAGCTTACGCTTCATGCATAATTATGACCAATACTGCTCTCTGTATGTAGGCATGTTCGATATGAGTGTCATTTTGATGATGGAGTGACGACTCAAATGGCATTCTAAGTACAGACAGACAGACAGACATGGAGACGTGCACAAGAAGAATACATATCATGCATGCTCCTGGGGCAGAGAAATGAAAGACACTGAGAAATAGAATTGTTTATTTGAAGGATTAGAATTGCAGTTTTCTTTCTTTTTCTTTTTTGTAAATTTTTTGTCGTAGCATTCAAATTGAGTTCTCATAGCATTCAAATTTCTTCATTACATTCAATTCATTTATTGGTGTTTTGGGAGGAAGTAAGAGAGAATTGAATCCTGTTTGCTCATTGCTCAAACAGTTTCTAATTAGAAAGATGTGCTATGTATTGATCCTAATCTTTTTTTCCTGTAGGATCTTGAAAACAAATTAACAGGTTATTTGATTAATTTTTTTCCCGAGGTAATTTCATTTTATTCACTTAAGTGTCTACAATGGAGATATTTATTCTTAAAATATATTTACTTCTTAGGCTCTTGGTAACATAACTGCTAATTAGCTTTCCCCCTTTGAAGCCTCAAAAGTTTTCATAGCAAGTGCCTCACTTGAAATACTTTGACTGGTTACTAACCATGACCAACATGGTTGCTGGCATGACTCTATGATTGTTAACGTAGTCCTACACGCTTTCTCATTTCTCATACAGAGAAACAAAGTCCCGCACAATTTACAAAACAAAATTTTCGCAAATTTCTAAACTGTAAACCAATTGATATGTCTCGTAATACAGAGCATATGGGTCTGTACATTTTCCCGCATATCAATTCTATTGGACTGCAGCATGGAAATGCCTCCTAGAAGATGTTGGTTCGAACATCGACCCAACCTAAAATCTAGTTTTGTGTAACCCATGGACATCTTCATAGCCTTAAGACCCATTTATGATAGAAAACATCAACTGGTTTCTTAACAGTACCTTGAAGGCATCCAAATCTACAATGACAGTGGAACTGGAAACCACTTAGTTTGGTCTGCAATTCGTAATGGCGAATATCATAACAACTTTTCGTTTGAAAAGTTACATACAAGATTTTGTTCCAACGCATGGAACTGCCACAAATAATTTAATCTCAAGTGCCAATATACATATATTCCCTACATAATGCATATGTAACATTTATAGGTTAAGTAATTGATAATAAAATTCAATGTTAAAACGCAAAGAAAAGGCAAACACATTTATTTGCTTCCCTCACTACGGGTATTCAAGGAAAGATACTAACTATCTTTCCTTTCCTCTTCTAAAAGGAAACCCGAACTCAATGAAACATTTACCATAAACATATAGCAATTTGTCCCATTAGTTTAAGTAAAAACTAAGTTTATGTTATACCTCAAATATAGCAACTAAACCACAATAATTTTGTTTTAAGATTGTTGGTAAAAATATAAAGATAATTGCTATATTTACAGAAGTTCGAAAATAAAACTTCACTACAAATTCGAAATAAATAAAAGAAAATAACGACAAGGAAGATTAAGAATACTTTACAGATGATCGAGTCTAGAATTTGGTTCTATCTCCTTAAGACGAAATTGCCTCCTCATAGGTGCTTTTAGGATTTACTTGGCAAATATCTCCCAGGATACAACGATTGACTTCTTGTTGAAGTAGAACTACAATCCCCAAGAAAAGCGAACTCAAACTTGTGTATGAATTCTCTCTTACTAACTCACTATATTTTTAAAAATATAATGCTATGAATGCTCTAAAAACTACTATTGTTGGATTACAATTGGATAAATGAAATGTTTTAGGACCTTCTCTATTTATAGGCAACAAGGCCTCTGTTCAAAAAGAATGTGACTGAAAAATATCAACAAATGCGTCTTTTCATGTTGCATCCATAAGCCAAGAAGTGCAATGTTTCAATTACTATGAAACAATGCAGCTTAAGCCAAGAAGTGCAATGTTTCAATTTCTATGAAAGAATGCAACATTTTACATATGAAACAATGCAACTTCATCCAAGAAGTGCAATGTTTCAATTTCTATTAAAGAATGCAACTTTTCACATAAATTATTATTATTTTGTTCATAAACAAATAAATAATATTTTATTTTTCCTCGATTAATAACATGACTATTCTCAATTGATACATACCAATTCGTAAAAGTCACGAGTCCCACAATTTAATTTCCATTCAATTATTAAAAAAATTCAATATAATTTTTGAGAGAGAGAGAGAGAGAGAGAGTGAGAGGTTTCGGGTGTTTTTTAGGTTGAGAGAGAAATTTTTGAATTACCTTGTGTGTTAAATGATGCTATGTATTTATAAGGCTTTAGGCATCTATGGTTTTTCAAAGAATATCTTCTTATTTGGAAGGAATATATTCTTTCCCCAAATTGTAGAGATTGAATCAATTAGGGATTTGATTGGGATCAAATTACTATTGATGATGATATCTCCGAAATAGGATAATATCCTAAATTGGTGATATTATTTTTTAATTGGTGATTATATTTCCAACCATATTTAAGATAATATCCCTATTTTTAGTATCAATTAATTGGCCAAATAAATGAGCTCAATTAATTGACCTAGGAGATATTCTTCTTGTCTACGTGGTGCCTTATGATTGGAAGCTGGATTATTTGCTCCCACATGGATTGAGGGAGAAGAACGGGAAGGAAGTTCAAGGATCAAAGAATCTACATGCTAATATTCCCCGCGCGGAATTTTACTCAAAGATCAGCAAATCTTGAAAAATCTAATAACATGAAGTAATAGAAATTTTAATTCAATCTAAAATTAAAATATAAGACTAAAAATTACAAAAGCCAAATTTTTTTAAAAAAAAACTACAAAAGCCAACTTCCCTTCCTAATCCCTATCCCCGCCACTCTTACCCACCCCAACATCGCTCATACCATCATGCCTCTCTCAAAAATACTTGTCTCTTCCGGTGGTCCTAGTCGTTACAAGGACTGTAGGGATGTGATTTGGCACACTAAAAACCTAACTCCTCTTTTCCTTTTCCCTTTTCCACAAGCACCCACCAACTACGGCTACACCAGTGAGCCCTAAAGCAATCTTCTAGTTAGGGGACGAAACCCACCAACCAATTGATGTCTCTGCTATAGGCAAAAGAAGGATCCACTATGAATGAATGTGAAGAGTGGAGTAGCCTCATCCTGAGCCCCACACGTATGATGGCAACAACATGATTTTTAATTTGTATTTACTTAATTTTTTTCAACGATAAAATAATTGTTAATTCACTAATATGCTGATATAATCACTTTTCAAAACTTGTATTCTCAAATGATCACTTTAAAAATCTTATTATGATATAATCACTTGGGGACTTGAAATTACCTAAGTGCCGTCCATATAAAAGACTCTTTAGCACTTTGTTTCTGAAAGGCAACTTCTCCAAAGTCCTGTCGTCCCTGTTTGTGCAGTCTCCCAAATAGTGGCTGAACTCCAAGTTGCGAGCACTGAGCAGCTCTAAGTCGCTAGCCATCCATCATCATAAACCAGTTGGCCAAAAATTTTGAACCCTAGTTTGACCGTAGCGAAGCCGGCGCAACGCACGACCTCCATTGTGGACCTTCACATCGAAGTGACTGTCGCGACTCCACAGTGGCGAGTTCCGTCGTCGTTGTGGACAGAGGTGAGTTCTGATATTGATTTTGTACTGTATGTGTCTTATAAATTCGTTTATCCCCTGTTCTCCACACATGGGCAAAAAAGCTAAATTTTTCAATTTGAAGGAGTTCTGATATGATGAAATCCATAGTTTTTGTTATTATCTGTAGTGGGATCTGTGTGGTGAACTTGACTTTTGTTTAAAATTGATTGAATTCTGTATAATGTAGTGCAATGTGTTTGATAATGGCCAAAATAACAGCACACAGAAAAATAATATGTTAACTTTGTGTGGCCTAAAAATAGGTTTGTTAGGTTAGTTGTAGCCTCAATTTAGATGCTTAACTAGGGAATTTGAGGTATTTTAGTGGGAATTTATTGCTATTGTGGGTTTGTTTTGGTAAGAAGTTTAGTTTGTGTGGTTTGGTTTCCAATTTGGTAATTGATATTATACTGCACAGGTTGTGATACAAAATGATTTTTGAGTAAGGTTAAGGGTGTTTGATATTATACTGCATTATTCATTTTGTATGACAACCTGACATTTCTGTAGAAGGTGTTTAAATTTGTTTAAAACCCTTATAGCCTAGAGGGGGCATCTTGCTGTCATGGTATGTTTAGTTGAGTTTGTTAATAACTTGGAACCCAGGCATATATACAAAATGAGAGGAAATAGAGAAAATAATAAATTTTTGTTCTTGAAGCAGCTACAATTTGAAATCGAAGATTTGTGGATTCATAAGATGATACGGGTAGTGGAATGATAGTTGCGTATGTTATTATTGGACCTAATTTTTGTGGTTAAATGTTATTAATCAGTCTAGTCATTATTAATGTTATTTGCAGAAATGGATACTGTTGGAATATTGGTATGCTACAATGGAAGTTGGGTTCGGAAGGATAACATTGACAGTTATGAAGGTGGGGAGGCTAAAGGCATAATAGTGTCACGGAACATAACATTTCTCGACCTTGTTCAGCATATTTATAAGATCATGGATGCAGATCCCAACAAAGTCATTGTGGCACTGAAGTATTCAGTTCCTCTATCCTCATCTGTCTATAAGCACATAAGGGTTGAAGACAATGATGATGTTCAATATTGTGTAAAGTACAACACATATGTTATGGCCTCTAAAGTAACCCCTTTAATAGCAAGCTTGAAAAATATAGAAGGTCATGGTATTGAAGGGTGCAATGGCAATGTAAGCATTGAGAGTAGCAATGCTCTTGCTAAATTTGGTGTGGAACATAGAAATGAGGTCATTGGGGACAACGAAACTAAAAATAGTGGAAATGGATTGAATTGAACAGATTGGGGTTGAAGATGTTAATTTTGAAAGTGTGGAAAACATAGTTGCTGATTTCTGTGAACCTAGCAATGAAGAGGAACCGTACTCTGCGCCAAATATGCATCGTCATGGGGACAACAATTTTGAACCCTCCACTGTGCATTGTAGACAGGTGCAATCTGAACCTTCTCGACAATCAATTTCGACTGGAATGCACACAAGCCAGATTGATTTGATGCATGGTCAGAGTTTGAAATAGATTGATTGTGGTGGAGGCCTTTGTTGCATAAATTGGGAAGCAAATTTTAAGGTTGGCCGAGTTTTTCCACATAAGGTTTCCCTTTTAAAAACCATAAGTTTAGCAGCAATTAGAGGCCACTTTCGATTGAGAACCATCCAATCTGGGAAGCATCGGTTGTGTGTTCGTTGTTGACAGCTTCCTTGCCCTTGGCAAGTTCGAGCATATAAAATTGGATTACATGAGTTTAGGGTTGTTAAATACGATCTGTTTCATGAATGTGATCTAAGGTATGTAATCAGTCACCATCCTCAAGCTACGACTGGACTGTTGTCCGATAGTGTGAATTGGAGATTCAAGGATTCGCGCACCATTTATACTCTAGCTGATATCAAGAAAGATGTGAAAACAAATTTTTGGGTGACCATAAGCTATGCTACATCGTGGAGTAGCCGAGAGTTCGCTATCAAAACAATTAGAGGGTCTGCAGAACAGTCATATTCCCTTCTCCCTTCATATTGTTATGAATTGGAGCGTACAAATCTTGAAGCTTTGACATACATTGAGACTGATGCAGCCGACCACTTCTTATATTTTTTTTATGTCAATTGGTGCATGCATAAGAGGATTTCAGTCGTCAATGCGCCCTGTCATTGCCGTTGATGCTACCCATTTGAAGTGCAAGTATAAAGCTGTTTTGTTTGTTGCAACCGCATTTGATGGAAATCGTAATATATATCTGATTGCCTTTGGGATTGGAGATTTGGAGACGGATGCAGCGTGGGAGTGGTTTTTGACAAAACTAAATTATGCAATTGGTGATTGCGCGAATCTTGTTGTCATATCCGATCGAAATGTCAGAATACGAAATGGGTTAAATTTTTTTTTTCCTGGGGCAACACATGGAATTTGCTGTTATCACTTGAAGGGCAATATGAAAGCCTCATTTCGCTTGAAGTAGCGGGATCCAATATTGGGGTATTTTGTAAGGGCAGTGAAGTCATATCGTCTGGGGGAGTTCAATCGTCACTTCTCCATGATAAAGAATGATCGAGTGCAAACTTATCTAGTACGTGCAAGCCTCCAGAAGTGGTCTCGAGCCCATTGTGATGGACGATGATATAATGTGATGACAACAAATATTGTGGAGTCCATAAATTCAGTTCTTCGTTTTGCAAGGATGCTTCCGGTGGTACACTTGATTGACGAAATTACAAATATGCTTTTGTATTGGTTTAGTCAACGACGAGATTTAGCAAGGAAATGTCAATCTACATTGTGCCCTGATTTAGGCGAGAAGAAGTTAAGGAAGAGGTTAGACGCTGCTTCAAGGATGAATGTGGTCAAAATCAATGATGAGGAGTATAATGTTCTGGATGGTGATATGAACGGGCTGGTGAACTTGCAAAACCGTAGTTGTACATGCAGGAAGTTTGACTTAGAGCAACTCCCGTGCAAGCATGCTATTGCGGTATGTCGACACTTGAAATTGAACCCCTACTCCTTGGCCTCTTCGTATTACACACGAGCAACATGGGCAGCTGCATATGCTGAATTCATTTATCTTGTACCACCTCAAGGGACATGGGTTATTCCCGATCATTTGCACAATATAAAAATCCTCCCTCCTCTTTCTAAGGTTATGCCAGGGCGTCGTAAAACACAAAGAATACCTTCTAAAGGAGAGGACCGGCGTGAAAACAAATGCTCAAGGTGTGGTGTGAAGGGCCACTACCAAAATACATGCAAACAATCTTTCCTCGTCACCAACAAGCAGCAGGTTGCGTAGAGGTGATAGTTGTTTAGGTTCTATGTCTGTTTTCATAAACTGGTAAGTTGACGCATAGCTTCGGTGATGTCGTAAGCATGAAAGTCGGTTCACTTAATGGTCATGGCAGCCTTACAAACGCAAGGTAACAAGTCCCTTTCAATGACTGGCCAGGATTAGTACACATTGTTGAACATACGGTGCCCCAGGTCACAATCAAACCAGGTGCAAAATATTGTTCCACTGCCACATAAGTCTTACAAATTATCATTTATGTTGGTTTGTTATGTACTGTTCATTTCAATTTCAATTGTATTGCATTTGGTGTCATGTGTATTGTGATTTCAGTGACATTGGCTTATATTGGTTTCCTTTGCTACAGAATGTCATGTATTCCCTATTTATATTGACACTATCGCCATGTTATTGTACTTTTCTTGAGACTGTATTCGTATTGTATTGTACCTTTTTTGTAGTCATATTGGTATCGCAAAGTAAAATGTGTCTCCAAAATGAAAGGGCCTAGAAGGCTAACCATAAATGCATCCCGTACATAAAACTCATTCAAATGCATTTGTTACGCCATTATCGTGACATTGGTAGTACTTCATCATTTCTCATTGCAACTTCAGACAACGCAAGGGGGAAATGTGGGCCATTTACAAGGTCAACTCTGCTATTGTTTTACGTAATATGGTTCTAGTTTTGGGAGGGGAGTGACCGTTGTTTATTTTGTTATTTGTCATGTTTGAGGTGGATTCATTGTCAAGACGATTGAAGGTACATTACAGTTCCTACCCAAAATTAGATGGGTGCACAATATTGGCAATGCCTTTTGAATTGCAATTGGAAATTAATAGGAAATGTAGAAGGACCATGTCTGCCATAACGGATCTAAAATACATATCTTCTCTTCCATTACATCCAATACCTAACCAACATTAACCTGCCAACTGTAGATGACCACACCTCCCATTACTTTTGGCAAACAACAAATAAAATACCATTACAAACATGAACAGAGATACCCAAAACCAGGGGTTTTTCATCTTGCCTTTTCCACAGTTTTTTTCTTCTTCCAACCGATTTATTTTCCTAAGCAAGTCGAGAATTATGTGCTTCGATCTGTCACACATCTCTGGGTCAGCCCATTCCCAAAATGTGCATCCATTCTTCTGCATAAACGAAAACAATTTATTGTAACGCATAGGCGCACCATCACTTTTTTAATCCACGACAATCCCAAATTTCAACAGCCTAAGCACAAAACTAAACTCAATCAACTTACCCTTCCACATACTTGAAACCTCCTTCTAGGATGAGAAACTGTCCATGATGTATGCGTTTTGACAACGTTCCCACAGTACCTGACCCGTGACCATAGTGAACTTGCATCTTCCATGTCCCCTCGACATCTTGAAGTTGAGTCTTGAGCGTGCAACCGAGAGCTAACTGACTCAGCCGCACCACTACGGAGGCTCCTCCTACTCATCTCCTTATTTAGTATTTATGAACTCTTGTTCAAGATCTGCGATATTGAGGCTGCTAAAAAGGGTCAGCTTGTATTCAATGGGATTTACTTGTGTGTGCACAAAGTGGAGGGAAAACCTTCTGAGCGCACCAACATTAATAATGGACTGATTGGGGATCCAAAATGTGGTGTTGCGCCTTCCACGTCAATTTTCTTCCGAGTAACTTTTTTTTTTATTTCAATATTTTCCATTGTCATCGGTCAGGCCCACTGCCACATTTACTTTTGAGTCATACCCTTAATGTATTATAACTACGACATGGTATACAGTTGCAAATACAGTACATGCCCTCCTTTGTTGCTTGTTGATTGGCACATATTGCTGAGTTATTGGTGTTATAGTGGCACTTTATATATTTTATATTGCCTTGTATTGTACTTTTATTGGCTTTGCATTGTAAGCTGTGTATTATTATCGCTTACTATTCATATTATATCATACTTATAATCCGATGCTTAATTTAGGGGCTGTAAGAGGAAACAGCAGGAGATTTTGTGGGGTCATCTTTGTTGTCTTAGTGGGATACATTCGAAAGGCATCCCTTGTATATATATACAACATGAGTCCCTTAACAGGCAGGGTTCGCTGTTGTTCCACAAACGAACCTGTGTACTTAAGAACACAAAATAATGTATCGAAATTACATGTACTACATTTTACAAACTGTCTTTATACAAAATAAAAATAGTGGGCACCTCAAACTTACATAATACAAAACCAATTTCAAAAGAGGGCATCTCAACCTGACATAATACAAATTACATAAACAGGCTCCTCATAGTTAAATAATACAAAAAGAGGCCACCTCATATATAGTTCCATTTTACACACTATCTCCACAACATTTGACAGGGTCCAAAGTAATATTAGAAGTCCAACCTTTTGTCTGTGGTCACATTCAGATTTGCGTACCGTTTAATTGCGGCGACCGCGACCCATTAAATTCATCACCCCTCCGACATTGATGTTGTCCCACTTTCCTTCTAGATCCACAATTTTTGCAAACTTCCGAAATAGTTCGAAACTAATTTCCAGTTGGTTTTGCTTCAACTGAGCCATTTCCTCAGATTCCTTGAATACGACAACTGCAGTTGCAGGGGCATTTACAATTTTAGCTTTCACAGCCTTTATATGTAGGAGATGCATTCTGGCTTGATAACGAGATCGAATTGTGCGATTCTTTATGACACCCCACCTAGCTTGGCCCTCGACAATTTTGAAACAATGTCTGTGTGGAGATTTTTCCAAAATATGGTGTTGGCTCGACATTGCTGCAGTCCATGGACCAAGTCTGCAGTCACTTCTGGTGCTGATTTGGTAGTTGTTTCAATGTACCCTCCTTCAGTAATGGAAACAATCGGGTTTTGTGGGGGGTTTGGCTCCATGGTTGTTGAGTATTTAGTGCGGGTTGGTGTAGGAATTATTGTGCCCAAACTAGAAGTTATTCTGATGTGAGTGAAATTTATGCGCAAGGTATGAGGTTTAAAGGGTTTACAGGAGTTAATGTGATGGAAATATGGTGGTTCATGGACCTGTGTTACAATTAAATAGTGGGAGGTAATAATGACCAGAAGTAAATGAGAGTGAGCAAGTGGCGGGGGTTATTGGCTGGAGTTGTTGGGTGGATATTTTGGTGGGAGTTATTGGGCGGGACGTCAGACTTGGGGTTTGTGTGAATGGGTATGTCACTATTTGGTGCACACGGTTGCTATTTGTTGTATACGGCCCTTGTTGTATTTCCAATTTATTCCTTTTGTTCTCATTGCACTACTACAAAAAAGGATAAAGACGACGGGAATTCACTGTCGTGTATTCGGTTTTCAAACCGTCGTGGAATTGACCGACATATATTTGGGTGTCAAACCACGATGCTAAATCACCGTCGTTGTTAAAACAAACAACATCATTAACAAATACTAACCGACGTCTTTGTAATGGAAAAAGAGATAAAAAAACAGTCGAGGATGAGAATAGACGACCAATTCTAACAAAAAACATCGTTAAAAAGGAAACATATGACATATATTAACAGAACATGGCCGCAAGATATACATACAACGACGAGAACTAAAACCCAGCGCCGTTAAATATACCTTTCACGACAAATAAAAATATGACATCTTTAAATACATAATCGACGACGTTATTGACTCCTACTACGTCAGTTTATTTTCAACAACCGTCGTGAAATGAATTTTCCACTTCGCTGTTTCTATTAATGATGACGTGGAAATAGATGTTAGGGTCATTACTTACGACGCATATATTTAAACTGACGACGTTGTACTAATAAACAACGTCGGTTACAAATAATTGAGAGCTGTATTACAGAATTTATACGTCATCTCTTAAAATATAATTGTCGTCTAATGGATCTGACATGGCAAGGTTTCTCAGTTCACCGCCATGTAAAATAGTTTTCACGACATGATCTTAAAATAAACGATGTGGAAAATATGTTGGAGTCATTACTTATGACATATTAATTTATAAAGACGACATTGTCGTCAATATACAACGTCGTTATCATGCAAAAGACAGCCATATTTCATAATATATACGTCATCATTAAAAAAATTACCGTCGTCTAATTCCTATTAGACGGCATTGTTAATCCGATATTAGCCGTGTAAAGAAATTTTAACGACATTATCATAAGAAAAGAGACGTTGATACATTCATATAACGTTGTTTTTGTAAAGGAACGACGTCCAAATATATCTTAACGTCGACAAATTTACTAACGGATTTAAAATACCATAGTGAATTCATCCTTCCACTTCATTTATGAAATAACATGCGACGTGGTAAAGTTAAGACGACGTCGTCTTTTGTAACGTTCAGGTTAGATATCTCGTCTTTTAGACGTCGATATTATGGGATTAGAGTCGTGTTATTTGGAATTACATGGCCGCTCTTTATGCTTCTCTGACGTGATATCCTTAATAACTGTTTCACAATAGCGTCGTGGTTCTTCTTTGTTACGTTGCTTTAAGACGTCGGTAAATATATTGCGGTCGTTGAATGCTCCAAAACGTCGTTTTTTATTAGAACAGACGTTTGTTTTTCATATTTTTATTAAGACTGTTGTGTTTGTAATCTTGAACCAGTATTTTTTGTACTGATTGTTTTGTGGCCAAAACTTGTATAATAAAAGTGAAGAAATCACATTACAATATATTACAAAATTAATGTCATACACTGCCAATTACGTAAGCGTCATTCAATCCATATATCTTCACACCCATCTCGAATATTTTGATTCCCAAACTCACCCACTAGTTCATCAAATGTGTCAATATTTGGCATCCTTCTAGTAAATGGCTCACACTCAATTCTCACATCACCTAAGACATCATCACCAATAACATCATTGTATTCTTTATTAGGCATTGATAACACTACCGACCAACCATGATGCATTGGGTCGTCAACAAAAAATACTTGTTTGACTTGAGAAGCCAAAACAAATTGGTCATTCCTATGTCC